GCACTGCCTCAGCAGCTTGTGCGAGGAGGTCTGCAGTGCGCCCGAAGACGAAGAGGGCAGTGAAGTGTAGTGTAGCGATAGGATAGTGGCAGCCATAGCTGCCATAGCTATAGTGTGTGTGTGTGTGTGTTGCGTGTAGAGTGTTGTGTGTGGGACATCCAGGGTGATCCAGAGTGCGAACAGTGAGTTGTGTGGGCGCTCAGTCGCCATAGCCAGTTTGAAAAGAACTCCTACCTGGTTACGATATCTTTGAGTACTGTGTGGGCGCATGTCGCCAGTTTGCTGTTTCGCTGTTTGCATGCATGACAAGTGTGAAGAAGTCGAGTCTGATTGTAGCAGTATGAGGTAAAGGTTTTTTCCTTTATCGGACTGATGTTCCATTTGTCCACTCTGTTTTTTTTGTTGCTATCCATCGAACTCTCTTCCATCGTAGCATGCGCACAAGCCCCCTATCGTGTATACTACGTTTTTTCCATTCCACATATGAACCTCCCATTCTGCAAGTGATGTCTGATTAAGGGAGTACTCACAACAGGATTTTATCTGTTGAGCCCTAGAAATGATAGTCGTGAGATTCATCCAGGTCTGGTCGTAATTGCAGTCAGGTACATTACGAAAATACTAGTGGGATGCCCTTAGGTGGGGTGTGCCGTGCCAAACGGAGGGGGGAGTGAGGGCATTGACAGCAACAAGAACCCATTCAGCATTCGCAAGATAAGAGTAGGGGGATGCTTCTGCCTCCCATCATTAGTAGATTTTCTTTCTTTTTTTTATTTAACAATCATTGATAAATTCTCAGTGTGTTCTTTCCAAGGCAACGAGTGTTGGTCGAACAAGTTATTTGAGTTGTGCAGGAGAAAAAACCACTTCATGTTTTTCTTGATGCATCGGTCGTAACAAGAAAAACTTGTTTTAATCTTGCTGAACTTCGTCGTCGTACCGACTTGATTGTATGGGATGAGGCTCCAATAATTAACAAGTCTCACTTGGAAGCTCTGGACATGATGCTGTTGCATTATTTGCAATCAATTTATTTATTTTTCTATTTTTTTCTATTATTTTTTTCACACACCGAAAACCACCCCCCCGAGAAAAAAAAAATTCAAACTTTTTTCTGTTCAAGGGGGTGGGGTCGGGGTTTCGGAACTCCGAACCACAACCCCCTTCCCCAACCCTCTCTCCCCTCGTCCGCAGCGGGCCGCCAAAGTCCGCAGTCACCGCGGTCGTGACCGCGGCCCCACGTCCCCGACCGTGGACCGCGGTCGTGCCCGCGGCGACCGCGGCCGCGGGGGATTCATAGCCCGCGGCGACCCCGGCCGCGGGGGATTCCTAGCCCGCGGTGACCCCGGCCGCGGGGTATTCATAGACCACCGTGGATATCTTTAGATGGATGGATCGTGGCTTTATCTTTTCAGGGGTCTTCTCAAAAATTGTCCTTTGTGCTTTGGCTATCTGCACTGTTTCCGAGTCTCCCCATGCTTCTACTCCCGTGCAGTTCTGCCCCACGCAGATTACCCCCTTCCCTGCGGTCCATTCCCCCACTCTTCAGCGCCCCGTGTATTAATCTTGTCCCTCTGTGCTGCTTCTCTGGTCTATGCTCTTTGTGCCCTAGCCTTGCTCCTAATAATGATCTGCAGGATGCTACCAGTGGAACAAGTAAGCAGGCTGCATGATGCGGGCATAGTCATACACTTGGGGACATATGGGCGTGGATAGGAAATAATAGGGTATGGATAGAAGGGTCTAGTATGCAACCAGGATCTTGCTTACCCTTGAGGTCCAGGATGACGACCAAAGGGTTGATGAACGACATTATGTCATAGTCTAGGGAAATTT